GGGGGGGGGGGGTATTGGAGATCAAACTCAGGACCTTGTGCATATGAGGGAGGCGTGGTGCCACTGAACTAAATCCCCAGTTCTACTTTTAAATAATCATACACTATACCATGTGTAGGGTGTTTGCCTTTTTATTTTATTGAAAACAACAACAAAAACACTTTTACTATGCACATTATTTAAACAGTCATTCAAATGCCTGTGTAGTATTTTAATAAGCCAAATTGGCAACTGAACATTGTCTTAAAAATCACCAGCTAATTAGATATTACATGAAAATGAATATGGCTTACAAAATAATAAATTACCAAACTGTATGCTTATATCTTGAATGCGACAGATAAATCAGAATTATCTCAATGGGAACAAAAAGATGTCTTGTATACCTCTCACTTTTTTATACACAAACTATAGCAAACTTCTGTGTTGACTTGGTCAAAAACAAATGTAAGTTCTGTCAAAATTATGATTTTTAAGGGGAAAAACTATCAATTTAATGACATAAATTGGCTTTCTAATGAATGTAAAGGATGTGCCATATATCACATGTGGCATATGTCACATGTCATATGGCTCAATGAGAAATTAGCTATTTTATTTTGAAACCACTGCATTAACCACTTTTCTGTCACTGGGACAAGACAGCTGATACCCACAATTTAAAAGAAGGGAAGCTTAATTTAACTCACAGTTTTAGGAGATTCAGTTCATAGTAATCTGGTTCCAAGGCAGACACACTATGGTAGAAGGGTTTGGAGAAGGAAAGTTGCTCAACCCATGAGAGCCAGGAACAGAGACAGAAGGGGAGAGGGAGATATGCCCTCCAAATGCACATCCCAGTGATATAACTCTTCTAATATAACCTACCCCCTTAATAGCACATTTAATTATGAACTCATCAAATCGATCAATTCATTGATAAACACAGACGCCCCCCCATGATCCAATCACTATTCAAAAGCCCCATCTCTGAACACATGAGACTTCACAAATTAATCCAATTTAGGCCAATTTGCAAAAGAATCCCAAAGTAATGAACAGTTATAAACTCTCTATGCAAACATTTGAGTCTTTAATGTGGGTAAATGTTCCTGAGAAAATATGACTACTGATTTAAAAGTCTGCTTATTTATATTTAAATGAATGGCAATATAGGATATATTGCACTTCTACTACAGATACAGGTATTTCAGATCTATTCTACATGTCTCATTATTTTTATATATGCTTGTATTTGTATGTGGATATATACATATATTCTATATTGAGGACAATTGATAAAACAATCTCAAGATGAAAGCTGCTGCCTAAGAATATGGTCTAAAGTGTGTGAATATTGTTCAATGTGTGACTCTACTAAGACTTTATTCTTATAATTTCAGTTAAAAATAACAAACAATATAAGAGTTTTACTTAGAAACACTAGCTTTACTTCAAAGAATAAATGCTTATTTGGAGAAAAAAAACATAAAAACATGGTAAGATTTTTAAATCTCTCCAAGACATTTCATAGTCCTACCCTCAAAAGACAGAACCTAATTATTCTCACTTTGAATGTACACTTTTTATACACTGACTCAATGAACTGCATAGATCAGCTTAGCCTAGTTTCCACATGCTTGAAACACTTATGTTAGCCTACTGTTGGGCAAAATCACAATTTTATAATAAAGTGTTTAATATATCATAGATAATTCAATGAATACTATACTGAAAGTGAAAAGCCAGGTCATTTTATGGGTACATTTTCCTACCACTATGAAGGTGAAAATCATTAAATTATACCATCACAAATTAAGCACCATCTGTATGTACCCAGGATAGAATTACTGAATCACATGCTAAATTTACATTTAACTTTTCAGGTTACCACCAAACTGTTTTCCAAAGAGTATCTATACCATTTTACACTCCCATAAACAGGGACAAAAGTTCCAGTTTCTCCATATAGTTAATAAGCATTATTATTTTCATAGTATAGTTGGAGACTAGTTAAAAAAAAAAAAGTTCCACAAAACTATCCAACTTTAAGACATTTGTTTAACAATGAGTATTAACCTACATGCTAAATATGTGCCATCCTACTGTATCCAAACTACATTTTACTAGTTATTAACCCCTAATCCCATCCCCAGTTTCTCTATGTTGCTCAGGCTGGTCTTGAACTTCTGAGCTCAACTGATCCACCCACCCCAGCCTCTCAAGTGCTAGGATTGCAGGTTTTCATCACCATGCTTGTTCCTCATTAATCATGAATTCTTTGGACATCAGGAAAAAAAAAAACCCAAAACAACTACAAACATTTAATACAAGCAAAATATATTTTTAAATATTTAATGAAGAAACACACCTCACTTGTATAATAAAGAGCTATTACTATATTTTTAAGAAACAAAATTATAAAAAAAGATCCAGAAGATAAAAAAATCAACTAAGAATAATTACGAACCGAATTTTCCTCTTCCTCTTCTAATTCTCGCTGCTGTTCTTCATGTCTTTTAGCTTTGATCTCCATAGCTTCTGTGATAAGATCTCTTAATATTGATACAGGTTTTGCATTCTTGATGAAAGGATGCTGTAACAGTAAAATTCACTGGTATAAAAATCAAAAGATTTTTCTGAATTAGAGCTAACAAATATTAAAACAACACTAAATGCTAACCAGGTTGGTTAAGAAAGCAGAATGTTATGTTGTCTTTAGAAGGGCACATATACAAAAATAGAACCCTGTTAATAACACTACATTACCCTTAAAGATATAACTTTCCAAAGGAAATATACATTAGATGGTAAAACTAATAAAGATTTAAAAAAACAAATTGGTGATATATTACAAATAAAAATAACATTTTTGTATGGAGTTACAGAATTTAATCTTTATAAGCTGACAAAGATCAGTGGTCAAAAGGAGAGCAATTAATTACTTTCCATTTTGTTGTCTTTCAAATAATTTATTTCTAAGAAAGACAGAAAATTTCTTCAGCTAACTAGTGCCTTAGTTTCATGCTATATACAAAACAACTTATTTCTTTTTTATATCAGTCTAACCAAAATGGCTAAGTTCTCTATAATACTGTTATTACATACTCTGATAGGCAAAGGAAAGCCATATGAATAATCTTACATTTTTATTGGGAAGGAAGAGCATGAGAGAAAACAGAGGGACAAGTTATAAATGTGAATTTATTTTGAAGTAGCAAAATATGTAATTTTTATAACTATATGCCAGTAGGTATTTCAGTTAAAAGGAAGAAATTTTAATAAAAATCAAAAGAACACAAAAATATACGTCAAGACAAAAAAATTTGATAAAGAAGAAATCACAGACATTTAGAAGAAGCTTTAAAAGGGTAAACATACGGGGAAAAATGAGTTAAGAATGAGTCTGTAAATAGGATCAATTATAAAGAACCAATAAATTCCTTCACCAGATAAATTAAGTCCCATTAACAAATCAATGGCTGAGACTCCTGAGTATCCACCAAAATTAGTTTGTGGCTAAATCTACAGTTGTTCAGTCAGAACCTACATTTTTCAGGTTCTCTTTCAACTGGTGACTAAATTCTCACTGGTAGAATGTGAATTCAAGCACTGTGTTTCACTTCCTAGTCTGGGCTACAAAACACTATACACCCACCCATGATTCCTTCTTTTTGTGATGTTAGAAACAGAGGTATTTATATGATGCAACTTCAAAAACTTACACAGACAAAGACAGTATTCTAGAGATGGTAGTGCAGTAAGATGCAAGGTAACACTCTCCTACTCTCAAACCTTCTGAGAAACAGTAATGGAAAGGCCACCAAAAACAGAACAAAACAAAACAAAAAAGAAGGTATGTTCTTTGCCTTTAAGAAATTTACAACTTAACATAAAGAATAAAAGATAAATATATATTTAAAAATTATAATATGAGAAACATGTTACATTCATGATGGTTTAGCACAACCTATATGTTAAAGAGATGTATAGCTAGAAGACTACACCACAGGTGTAGCTCAATGGTAGAGGGCAAGCTTAGCACGTGTGAGGTCTGGGGTTCAGTCTCCAGCACCACTGTCACCCCAAATATAAGAGTAAAACAAATAGAAGAATGGGTAAGGTATTCACAGATGCCTAATAAAGGAGAAATAGGTTAATTTAGGGAGGATAGTATAAACAAAGACACAAAGACAAAAGATGTATGCTGGAATATAGTAGGAACACTTGCCTAGCCAAAGAAGTCACATCATTTAGAGAAATGGGGTTCTGAGAGTTTCAATACAGGCAATAATATAAATGCTTAGAGTGAGATGTCTATATTTTAATTATATAAACAAGAGAAAACTATAAAAAGCCTTTATTAAATAATCTAGCAATAAAATTAAAAAGTGAAATGAGTGGGAAAACATCTGTGAAAATACACAGGTGTGAACTATTTAGAATCTGGGTTATAAAAAGTAGCGCTCAAAAAAGAAGAGGAAATGGAGAATCTGATGGAAAACAAGAATTTAATGGCAATGAAATATTAATCAATCAAAAATAATCACGAATAACATTATCAAAGAAGAATAAGTGGAAGACTTAACCAATATAATACTCAAAAAGTTTCAGATTTTGAAGCATTTAAAATTTTTTATTTTCAAACTAGGGAAGTTCAACTATAAGTCTATGGTTTAGGCAAGTAATCCAAAATCCTAAAAAACTCTGAAACCTGAAACACCTCTGGCTGTAAGTGTTTCAGAGAAGAGATATACAACTGACATTAACAGAAGGGGAGCTTCAACAGTGCAATAACTGGGGACCAACAGAACTACAGTTTGTTTGCTTGGTACTGGGGAACGAATTCAAGCCCTTGAGCTTGCGAGGCAGGCAGCAGAACCACTGAGCCAAATCCCCAGCCCAGAACTATTCTTCAAAAAAGGTATATAAATCTCAAACTATAACATAAACACACACACACACACCTTATTACCTTCTTAGGGGGTGCTCAAAAGAAGTAAAGAAATTTTTTGTGTTTATTCCTGTATTTAAACTACCTAGGAACAGTATGAAATGTAAAAAGAAGGCAACAGACCAGCTAGAGAAAGTTCCAAGGAAGGGTATAGTTGTACCTTCTATGAGTTTTCCTTTTATCTCATTTATCCCAGACTGGGCACTACAGAAGCCAGTACAAACTTAAAAAGTCCCTACAAAAGCCCGATTTCAAGTCAAAAAATTAGGAAATGGACAGCCTAGCAAACAGAAAACTTTCATACAATAATAATTCTACTCCCAACATCACAGAAAAAGTATGGCTCCAAAGGCAGAGTGGGGAACCTAGATTTCCACCCTTGTGAAGGCGTCTGGGTTTACTTCTGAGAAGGTGTCATATAAGATGGAGTACCAAGCTATAGCTCTCATCTCCAGAAGGTACTATAAAACTATCCACACTAAGAGGAAAGTGTAAGGGAAGACCACATGGGAGCCCATACTTATAACCCTAGCAGAAAGTAATAAGGAACTCCATTTTCACTCTTGGTCACAACCAGTGGAGTGGAAGGTCAGAAGTGTCACCACCATTCAGCTGTTATGAGGCCACCCCTCACCCAATGCAGTATCAGTTGAAGACGTTAGGAAAGCCTGAGTTCAAATCCACATCAAGTTGTAACAAGCCCTTACCCTACAATGCAAAGGAGACCAAGAACAGAAAGTAGACTTCTACTCCTAGTTAGCATAAGTAAGATGACAACCCTCTACCCTCACTGGAGCTGTGACAAAAGAGGTTTGCTATAATCGGAGATTTAAGTAAGGGGCTGTAGGTGTAGCTGAGTAACAGAATGGCTGCCTAGTATGTGTGAGGCCCTGCGTACTTCCCCAAGTACAAAAGAAAGAAACAGGTCTGGAGGAAGAAAGGAAGGACGGGGGAGGGAAAGAGAAAGAAAGGAGAGAGAGGGTAGGAAAGGAGAGAGGGAGGGGATCCAGAGCCTTGTAACATAATACCTACAATGTCCAGATTTCAACTGTTTCTCATCATACCAAAACCAGGAAAATTGCAATTTAAATGGGAAAAAGCTAATCAACAGACCCTAACAACAAGATTACAGAGATATTAAAATTATTTGACATGGATTTTAAAGCAAGGAGCAAACAAATACGTTGGTAAAAAAATGAAAATTTGGAATATCTCACTAAAGAAAAGATAGCTTGAAGTCAGTTACTGTAGAGCTTCCTGCTTTGTTGTTGCCCAAGATTGCTTCTGCTATTCTGGGTCTCTTCTGATCCTATATAAATTTTAGGATTGTTTTATCTAGATCTGTAAAGTATGCTGTAGGTATTTTGATTGGGACTGCAATGAACCTGTTTCACAGTTTTGGGTATACAATCATTTTGACAACATAGATTCTGCCTATCCAGGAGCAGGGAACATTTTTCCATTTTCTGATGTCCTCTTATATCTCCTTTTTCAGAGTATTGTAGTACTCTTTGTAGAGGTCTTTCACTTCCTTGGTTAGGTTAATTCCTAGGTATTTCATTTTTCTCGAAGCTACTGAGAATGGTATTATTTTCACAATTTTCTTTTCATCGATTTCATTATTGTTGTATATATATGCTAATGATTTTTGTGTGCTGATCTTACATCCTGCTATGTTGCTAAAGTTGGTTATTAACGCTACAAGTTTTTTGCTGGAGCTCTTTGGGTCTTCTATGTAGAATATCATGTCATCACAAACAATAATTTGAGTTCTTCCTTTCTTTTGTGTATCATTTTTATTTCTTTCTCTGGCCTGACTGCTTTGGCTAATGTTTCAAGTACTACGTTGAACAGAAGTGGTGACAGTGAACAAGAAACAGAAAAAGGTTAGAAATGAAAAATGCAGTCACCTGAAATTTAAACACTTGATGGACAGAAAACAATCAGTGAACTGGAAGATAAAACATGAGAAACTGAATAGCATAAAAAAACCCAAAGAAAACAGACTAAGGCCTCAAGGACTTATGGGGATAAAACAAAAGTTCTAAAAATTGTGTCACTGGAGTAAAACAAAAAGAAAGAAGGTGGGGCTGGAAAGGTAGTCAAAAAAATTGGCTGAAAATTTTCTAATTTAGCAAGAGACACAAACCTACAGATTTAAAAAGCTAAACTAATCCCCAACAGGATAAACCCCAAGAGATTTATAACAAGACACTGAGATTTCTGAAAATCAAAGATAAACAAATCTTGAAAAAAGCAAGAGATTAAGCAATACAAGTAACAGTAGACTTCTCCTAAGAAACTATGGTGTTCAAAAGGGAGTGGCATGACATTTTTAGTATTTCAAGAAAAAGAACCGACTCTAATGTAAATATCTATCATGAAAGGAGGGGAAATCATGGTATTCTCAGATGAAGAAAAACCAAGAGAATTTCTCACCACAGATCTATCCTAAAAGAATGGCTAACACACTCCTCTAATCAGAAAGTAAATGATTCAAGAAGAGACCTTGGAACATTAAGAAAAGAAACATCAGAGAAAGCAAACAATCAATAGGCTAAACAGCAAATTTCTTTTCTCTCGAGCATGCTCAATTATGTTTTAATATTAAAGCAAATACTGTAACACTCAAATGGATCTGAACTATTTAAGTAAACTATTTAAGGAAATTATAACTGGGGGGTCAGAAAGGAAGGTGATTTCTTCTATACCTCACCTCTATTGGTAAAAGTAGGGTAAGTCACACACCACAGAAATTCACAGATACTACCTGTTCCAACTAATCTCAGATGCTGGTTCAAGTAACAGTAAATCTCAGTTTACCTAACAGGTTATGTCTACCAAAGTTACACGAGTCCTCGTCAAATTAGGAACTCTAGGGCTCCTGGACTGAAACTGAACCTTATCCTTTTTCAATTGCTTCATCTCTTAAAGCTCAGATTTCAACTTAACCTCAAAGGATCTTGCCAGTATGTGATTCCTTTCATTTTGTGTTGACTATCACTTTTTGTGTATGTGGGTATGTGTGTGAATGTGTTTACCACTTTGTTGCTTTTGGACTGAACAATGCAGAGACTCATGATAACAACATTAACAGACCCTTGATTTATGCAATAATATTTCTTTGGAATGCTTATTAACTATATTTTTTTAAAAATTTTAATTGTAAAGATGTATACAACATAAATTTTAACATCTTAACCATTAATTACTTAGCTTCTGAAAAGTGATTCTTGTATATAACTCAAAACTCAAGTCTTATAAAGAGTATTCAATGAAAAGTCTCTATCCCACTCCTGCTTCTTAACCTTGCAATAACCTACTAGGGAAGCAAGGCTCTTAAGTAAGTTTTAAGGGATACTCATTTATAAGCACTGATATAAGTATATATACATTTATGCGTGTAGATATATTTTCCATCCACTCTTCTTGATTGACTTAGACTATTTCTAATTTCTTAAGATACTGTATTTAAGATCTTTTCAATCTTTGAAAAGAATGAAACAATTACAATGTACCATGACTATTTTTCCATATATATTATTCCACATATAGTTAAATTTTTCTATAGACTAAATTTCTAGAAATGTATTTGATGGGTCAATAAATACAGAAAATTTAATTTTAAACAGATATTGTTAAAATTGGCTTCCATGGAGACAATAGAAAGCTAATTTTTCATAACAATAAACAACACCTTTCTGAATATTTTCCATACCCCACAACCTTTCTTTCTTTTTTTTTTTTTTTTGCTATTGGGGATCAAATTTGGGTCCTTGTTTTTGTGAGGCAGGCAGCAGAACCACTGTGCCAAATCTCCAGCCCTTACAACAAATCTTTTTTAATAGCACCTTGAAAAGTAACTTTTTACAAAAACCATGATTTGAATTCTTTGTCACTTATATCAAATTTGTTAATGTGAAACATACTTTTATTACTTGAGAGTTTTGAGGCAATTCTGCTGAGAAAAGAAAGGTTCACAAATATTTATCATCCTGTTAAATTACTTCTATTTGCTTTAAATTTTAAGACAGATTAAAACAAAATAAACAAAAAAATACCTCCTGATATTCTGGATACAAAGTCTGCTTACACCAAGGATACTAGGTAATCTTCTAATTAACACTTATAACATGTAATAATCCTGTAGGGAATTCGAATTCAGAGATCTTGTATTTAAATCTTATAGTGCAGCAAAAAGTCAATGGAGAAATGCTAACTGAAGGGACATTAAAAAAAAAAGCCAAAGTAGCAACAACTATGAAGACAAGAACTCATTTCTAAAACGACAATCTTTTGGAAGTTTTGTTTTAAAATAGTATTAAGAGAAAATGAGGTAAGAACAAAGAGAGAAGGAGAAAAAAGGAAAAAGAAGACTGAACCAAGAGACAGAAAATAAGAGAACAAAGAGAAGAATGGTATATGTCTTATCAATCCACAATTCTTTGGAAGGTTTACATTTTTAGTGAATTATGAAACACAGCAATGTGGACCAATGTCAGAAAGCTAAAAGGTATGAAAAAAATATTTTTCTCTTGCAAGTACTCACTTGTAAAAGTTGTGTTGCAGTAGCTCTTTGTTCAGGATTCTTCACTAAACACTTTTTAACAAAATCGGTGAAATCATCAGACCAAAGTTCAGGCTTCCTGAATGTTGGTGGTGGATTTGTGGGAATCATAAAAATAGCCTAGTACAAATGAAACATCCAAAACACCCAGTAAGAATCACAACAGCACAACCAAATAAACAAATTTCTTTATCTATCTTTCATCAGACTTTAAATCTCAAAACAATTTAAGCTGTTCTTAGATTTCCAGTAAGACTGCAATTCAGGAAGTAAATCCATCTGCTACTAATATAATCATTTCCCATTAAATTTCCTCTATTTGAATTGTAGCTCATTGAGCACATCATTCTTTATTTACCTATTATTTTTTATCAGTCTCCAAAGAAGACTTTACATTTCTGACCCTTTCACCAAAGGCATTTCCTAATTAAACAGACATATTCACAAATTTTGGTACTGCACGCCAGATTTATTTCCTGTTTCAGTTTTATATAAGTACTGTTGCTCAAGATGGCTACTTAAGTAGTCTAGTTTGCATCTTCAACTCCAAATACTTAAGCACACATGAAATTACTACTGTAATTTGAAATCATAGCTACAAGATTTTTACTTCTCATCTTAAATGTGAGTCATGATTCCAAATAAAAAAGTTTTAAAGGTAATATACCACTTTCATTTATTAGTAATGACTTAGTACTAATGATTCAGTAGTAATCACAATATATTGAGACAGCTCAACATTCTGAAGCTATAAAAAGCTTCCAACTCACAACTGTTCTTCTAGTTATCAGGTCACCTTTTTTTTTTAGCCAAGAGAATTAATCCCTAATGCTCTTAGGAAATCATTGTAATGAATTAACTTCTCATCTGATCATCTGGACTAGTTCATAAAATGCCATCACTAAAATATAATTTTCTTTGAAAAGATTATGAAACAAAACTGAAACAAATGTTATCACTCAATACATATTATAATTATTTTTATAATGCTAATAAGCAGCAATGACAAAAATCTTTACAAAGTAAAATGAATAGAAAATATAACTGAATGTAGTTCAATAAATAAGTTTTATAAATCAACATAATAGGTGAATTGAGGGAAAAATGGCTTTTGGGCAATCTTAATTAAAGTAAGCTACAATCATGAGCTCTCAAAATATATATACAATAGCATCCAAAAATCTCCCCTTCTAGGTTTCAGAATTCTTTAACTTTTCAGAAAACAGATGTCTGCCTCCTTGTTTTTTCACTTGGCTTTTGGCAGTGTCCTCCCTTTCTCCCACTCCCTCTCTATCTCTCTCTCTCTGCAAATGAATTCAATGTACATTAATTTATGTCCATTTCCCTTAATTCATAAAGAATATGGAGGTGGTAATAATACAAACATACAGTAATATTTAGAAACTAAGTTTTTAAAAAAAACATTGAAAAAGGCTAATCACAGCTACGGTTAAAACTTCTCTTCATATATAAAGAAAACACTATAATTACAGGTAAACTTATAAACATATTCTAGGTATATCAATTTCAACGTATTCCTTACATAAGATAAAGCTAGTGTATTCTCTGAATTTGCATTAGCTGATTAAAAGCCATTTACAAGAACTTCAGGGTCACATAATTTCCACAGTAAAAGTTATATAACAAGTTATTCAGTTCAATCTTCTCATTTTACAGTAAAACTACCTAAAATACTGGGATAGCTGATAAAGTTGAGCATTCAACCAAATTTTTTTTCTCATTGAGTTTACTGGTACATTTTAGGTATCCAGTACAGTTACATTCATCATTGGGATCCTGTACCTTTACATAACAGGTCTTGGTTCTCATTTTTTCCCCTTATCCCTGCCCTCCCTTCACCCCTTCTCCCTTCCCTATTTACAAATACTTTATTTCCATTTTTTCATTTTCTCATGTTTTTTTTCTTTTCCCTTATTTCCTTTCCCTACCCTTCCCACTTTCCCTACACCTTTTCTTCCTATTTCACATTGTCAATTAAACCATTAGGATCTTATGTACCGTTAGTTTTTCACCCCAAAGAAATCACTCAGTATTTACACACGTGTGACTTATTTATTTCACTTAGGAGTATATACTCAATATGTATCTATTTTCCTATGAATGACTGTAATTTCTCATTCTTTATGGCTGAGTAGTATTCCATTTTATAGAAAAACCACATCTTCTTTATCCAGTCTCCAACTGATGGGCAAATGGGCTGTTTCCAAGTTTTAGCTATTACAAACTGTGCAGCTATAAACACAGATGCACATATATCACTGTGATATGATTCTTTTTTAAAATTGAGTTTATTCATACATTTTAGGCATACAGTACAGTTACATTCATTATTGGGATCCTGTACCTTTACATGACAGGTCTTGGTTCTCATTTTTTCTCCTTGTCCCTGCCCTCCCTTCACCCCCTCCTCCCCTCCCCATTTACAAACACTTTATTTCCATTTTTCATTTTCTCCTATTTTTTTCTCTTCCCTTATTACCTTTCCACTACCCTTCCCACTTTCCCTAAACCTTTAGCCCCTTTCTTCCTATTGTGATATGACTCTTTAATTCTTTTGGAAAGATACCCAGCAGAGGGATGGCTGGGTCAAATGGAACCTCTACTCCCAGCTCTTTGAGGTATCTCCATATTGATTCCCACAGTGGTTGCACCAGTCTGCACTCCCACCAACAATGGAGAAGGGTTCCTTTCTCCTCAAAACACCACCAACATGATGTTACTGGTTGATTTCTTGATAGCAGCCATTCTTTGTGGCATGAGGCGGAATCTCAGTGCTGTTTTCATCTCCATCTCTCGAATGACTAGTGATGTGGAACATTTTTTCATATATTTACTTGATGCTTTTACTCCTTTGTCTGAGAAATATCTGTTCATTTCAGATGCCCATTTTTTAATCGGGTCTTTATATTTGGGGGGGGCTGATTTTTTTGAGTTCTTTATATATTCTAGGTAAGATTCTGTCTGAGAAGCAGCTGGTAAAAATTTTTTCCCACATGGTAGGTTATCTTTTAGTTTTGTTGATGGTTTCTTTTGCAATGCAGAAACTTTTTTAGTAAGATGAGATCCCAGTTGTTGATTCTTTCTGCTAGTTCCTGTGCTACTGAAGATTTGTTCATAAAGTCTTTTCCTATGCCAATGTCTTAAACCAAATTTAAATGTAAGACAATTCAACAAAAAAGAGATAGTCATTTTGACAAATGGTATTAGAAGACTGGGTATGCACATGCAAATAAAAAAAGCAGATGCATTTCCATGTTAAAACATATAGAAAAATTAACTCAAAAGGATCAAAGACAAATGGATGTTGTGCACTATTAATCTTAGCACTCTGCAAAGCTGAGGCACAAGTTCAAGACAAGGTTCTGTAATTTAGTGACTTAGTGAGTTGCTGCCTCAACATAAAAGTTTTTTTTAAAAAAAATCTGAGGGGAGAGGCTAGCAATATAGCTCAGTGCAAAGGTTGTGGGTGCAATCTCCAGTACCTTCCCCAATAACAACCTAATTATAAGAGCTAAAACTATGAAACTCCTAGAAGAAAACAAAAGAGGAAAGCTTCATTGAATGTGGCAAGCTTCATTGAATGTGGCAATGATTTCTTGGCTAGAACAAGAGTCCAGGAAATTTAAACTAAAAATAAGTAAAGGCCGGGAATTTAGCTCAGTGGTATTGTGCCTGCCTTGCAAGCACAAGGTTCTAAAATGAGTCCCCATTACCCAACCCACAAAAGGTAAACTAGACCATTAAAATTATAAAATTTATGCATCAAAAGACATTATCAAAATGTGCAAAGGAATTCACAGATGAAGACTATTTACAAATCATATAAGAAACAATTAATAGCATAAAGAACCCCTATATCCCAACAACAAAACTACAAACAACCCAATTTGTTAAATGGCCGAGGAATTGAATAAACATTTCTCTAATGAAGCTATACAAATGGCCAATGAGGTCATGAAAAGATGACTCAACATCACTACTTATTAGGAAAACATAAATTGAAACCACAAAGATGTACCAATTAATGCTCTACAGGATGGCAAAAGAAAATGGAAAAGGAAAAGGGGAAAGTGAATGGGAAAGGAGAAAGAAAGGGAGAAGAGAGAGGAAAGGGAGAGGGGAGAAGAGGGGAGGGGAGGGGAAGGGAAGGTGTGGGCAAGTATTTGGAGCAACTAAACCCTCTCTGTGCTGCTGCTGGAAATGTAAATGGTAGTCACTATGGGAAAACAGTATGTTGAATCAGAAAGAAAGGGAGAAGAGGGAGGAGGGAAGGAGGGAAGAGGCAGGGAGAAAGGGAGATAGGAAGGCAGGCAGGCAGACAAACCATATGACCCAACAATTCCACTTCTGCATATATACCCAAAAGAATTTTTCAGAGAGACTGGAACAGATATTTGTATGCTGATGTTTGTAGTAGCATATTCATAATAATCAAATAGTGGAAGGGATCCATGTGTCCACTGACAGATGACTGGATATACAAAATGTTGCATAAAGCAGAATACTATTGAGACATAAAAAAGAAAATTTGGACACACACTACAATATTGGTGAACCTTAAACACATTATGTTAAGTGAAATAAGCAGTGGCAAAAAGGCAAACATTTTATTATTCCTCCTAAATGAGGATTTAGAGGAATCAAATTTATGAAGACAGAGAAAAATGTTGCCAGGACCTGGGAAAAAGAGAGAATGGGAAGTCAGTGTTCAATGGGAGTGAGGATTCAGCAAGGGAAGATGACATCGTCCTAGAGACGGATAGTGGTGGTTGCTGCATAGAAATGTGAACATACTTGATACCACAGAACTGCACTTAAAAATGGGTAAAATGATGAATTTTATGTTGCTGGTTTTTTTGTTTGTTTGTTTTGTTTGTGGGGTTTTTTGAGATAGGGTCTCACTATGTAGTTGAGACTGACCTGGAACTCACTATGTAGTCCAGGCAGGTCTAGAACTCATAGCGATCCTCCTGCCTCGGCCTCCCGAGTGCTGGGATTACAGGCGTGAACCACCACGCCCAGCGAATTTTATGTTGTTTATATTTTACTATATAAAGAATATGAATGAGGAAAAATACAAAATAACAATCAAGTTCAGA